ACGATAACGCTAGCTGGCTCGATTAGAATTTCATTGCATGTGAACCGCTGAGGTCATTGCCCGTTACTGTGCCAACCGCACGTAATTCAAAAGCACCTGACGTTGTTTTTTTTTTTTTTCACTGGAAATGTAAGCAATACTCTGCGTTCAAAGTACGCTACCCCGATTTTGAAATTACAGTAAATTGTAACGCATGGATTTTATTTACATGAAATTTAGGGGTGATCTCATATTCAAACACCTGGGTCAAACCTGGGTTAACCTGGGTAAACCCGACCTGCCCTATTCAGACCTACTAGACCTACAATATGCAAATTAGTAGTAGGTTTGAACCTAACCTCCAGATTAACTGCCCATTAGCGCCCCCACTGAAAACAAACAACAGAGAACAAAGAAGACAGACCTAGGGAAATCTAGGTTTTTCTTACAATACTGTTTCAGCCTGGTTTCAGTAGGAAAAAAAATAAGATGTATACTATGGAGCTTCATGTTCATACTGAGTGTTATATTTTGAAGTGTTAAGAATTACAGCAGCAATTTTTTTTTTCTTTGCAAGTCTTGTACATGTAAATGCTAATAAACACAAACTTGCATTTGTTTCACAAATCTATTTACATCATGTCATTTATAAGTGTGATGAAAATTATATTCATTTATTTCTGTGATTGGTAATAATAATCAGTTTCCCACAACTTACATTTTGGTACAAGTCAATACAATTATTATTGTTATTCAATTTATCTGGAATTAATTACAGACGTTATGGTTTGTTATATTTTGTCATTAAATGTGAATCAAGTGATACCATAAACCCTCTCTATTGGTAAATAATGTTTGAAACAGAACAGGGAAAAGATGCACTAGAATTGTAATGAGCAGCTTCTTAGGATAAATTACTTACGTTATATATATATTTGGCATTGTCAGTAAAATATGTTTATCCATGGAGCGAACTGGTACATTTTGTCCGCAATAAGTACGGTCAGTTTTGTGTCCATGTCAGTTCATAAATTCATAGAACACATTTTTTGGTTAAGTTTGTAAAGTCTGTGTGACTGTGAGTTATCAAAATATGATGAAAGTATTAAATCGATAATGGCAACATTGTTTTCTACGAAGGCATCTGAAAACCACAGTCCCTCTATCACTGTGTCAAAACT